GCACTGGGAAGTGGAGGGGGGGGTGCACCATGATGGAGCTGGAGTGGGAGGAGGAATATTATTATAAATATTAATTAAAATAAGGAGGGATAAAGCAGAGGAGGGGCTGGAAACCATCCCCAGCTGAACACTCACAGCTCAGGATTATGGGCAGGGTCTCACAGTGAATTTAGTAATTTGCAAAGGAAAATGTGACTCCAGCTTTGGATTCCAGTTAGGATCACGCACAGGGAACCAACATCCTGCACCAAGGCAGCAATTCTGAGCCTGGAAAATTCTTACACCAATTTTAGTGGGTTTATCTCTATGAAAAATAAAAGCTATTTCAACTACCACACTGCTTTTCCTACAAGAGGCCAACAGCATAAGGAAAGGGGGATCCAAGTGAGCATAATCTGACTTTTTCCCAATCAATTTTCAGCTCCTAATAATCACCAATTTGTGATTTACTGACCCAAAATTTCTGGCTTACCACAGCAGTCACTAGTGGTCTTGAATTAATCCAAATTTTTCCTGAAATAGGTTCAGCTATGTGGAGTTTCTCACTTGCACTCACAGCAGCAAGACAAGGATAAATCTTCACAAATGAAGGCAAAAACTGATCTACAGATCACAAATGTTACAAAAACATGAAAAACTTACCAGTCTGATGTTAGGCAATGAAACAAACAGAATAAGTCAAATATCCCTGAAGAACTGTGTAAACAGAGCAAATAATTAATGAAATCTCTAACTTATGGCTTGATTGGAGCCTGGAGCCAGACCCTGCAAATAAAGCTCCTCTCTATTAGTAAACTAGAAAAGATAATTTTTATGAACAGCAAAACAGAAAAACCCTCAACGAATTAAGAGAATTTCTTTAAACAAGTCAACATGTACAAATCAGAACTAGGGAACACCTCAGCCTGAGCAGGTCTGCACAGAACCAGAGAATAATTTAGGTCAGAAGAGACCTCTGGAGGTCTCCAACCCAACCCCGTCCAGCTGAATTTTGAGTATCCCCAAGGATGGGAATTTCACTGACTTTCTGGGCCATTTCTACCACTGAGCATGAAAATACTTCTATTTATATTCAACTGGGATTTTCCTTCATGCAACTTTGGCCCTCTGCCCCTCAAGGTTTTGCTGGAAAACTCTGAGAAGAGCCTGGCTCTGTCTTCTCCGGAATCACAGAATATCCTGAGTTGGGAGGGACCCACAAGGATCATCAAGGTCCAACTCCTGATCCTGCACTGGACCCCCAAGGTAAAACTGATTTATTAAGACAGTTAAAACCCAAAATCTGGGATGTCCCCAGAGCCAGCCTGGACAATCCCAGCTCCTGCAATCTCCCACTATGTGACATGTGCTCCAACCCTCCCATCTGCCCCCTCCTGTCCAAGCAATGGCCCCAAAAATGATGGACAGAGGGGTTCAAACCCTTTCTATGACCTCCTGAAGGCTCTTAATGAGATTCCTTAATTGCTGCAAGGGTGCACTGCAGACTCCAGTGCAGACTGCACAGCCAGCACAGGATTTCACTATAACCACACGTGCCTCTGCAGAATATTCAACAGAAAACAAATCTGCTGATTTTTATCAACTCATAAGGCTTTTGCAAATGTTTGGGATCTCATACTTCAGGAAAAAAGGGTGGGGGAACTAAAAAAATACCCAACACCAAAACAATCCAGAAAAGAAGTGGAGGTAGAAATTGTTGTTTTAAGAAGACGGTCAGAGACAACAACTCAAGTAAAAGGACTTTATGAGGGACAAAATATCAGCCAGAACTCACTCTACAAAGGTAAAAATAATCTGTGACCATCACAGATGAGGAGCTTCTCAAATTAACTTCTTCTCTGTTCACAGAACAAAAAGGTGGCTTGGATGTGCCACCAGAGCTACTTCGAGGGAACCCCCAGAGAACAAACTGCAGTGACTCCAGCCTGGCTACAACAAAGTGCCACTCCACTGCAGTGCTACCAAAATGAGGCTTCATTTCCAAGGCAGCCCACAGACAGAAAGACAAAGACAACTCCTATATCGTGGAAAAACCCCCAGAAGAAAGAATTTCAGGATTCCTGAATTCCAGGACACACCCTCCACTGATTCTTTCACTTACTCCAGATCACATCAGCACCTGTCCCATTACACATAACTCAAACCAAAAAGGGATTGACCAGCTGCAAATGGCTCCTCATGAACTTCCAGAATGAAGGGAACAACCTGCCAGGAGCACCCTGGGGACAGCTGAGGGGTCACTCATTCCTCTGAGGTGCCACTTGCTCCTCGTACCTCCCGATGCCCAAGGAGAAGCCAGAACAGACACACCCCAAACACTGACCCCACGGAACCAAGGGGTTGATTCCCCAGATATTTGATATTTTCTCTGGTAAAATGACAATGTGGGAAGGTAGAAAATTTGGTGTTTTCAGCCCAGGAAGAACTGCCAATCTCCAGTCGCTCACAAGGGGTTTTTTACCTGTTTAACCTTCAGAGAAGATACTGTGTGGAATGCCAGCAGCTTCCTGATAGTGACAAACAGAATTAAGACCAGATTATTCTACATTAGATGGTACAGACACACAATTTCAGTGGTGTTACTCTGATCCTGCATCACATGAACCTATAATCAGGATACAGAAGTTCTAATACTATTTTTATTCTTCCCTATTGCTTTAAAAAGGCAAAGTCTCAAACAATGCCTTTTTTTTTTTCACAGATACTACAGTAAGCAATAAGCAATATTTCTTTTAAAATTGCAGCTGTCCAACAGTTTGAGTCTGTTCTTTTTAAAATGAAACAGCCAGAACAAATGGTGGTGGCAAGCCCAACGTAAAGAGGTCATCAATTATTAAAATCTCCTTACTATAAATCGTGGATGTTGCTTGTCAGCTCAGTGTGTGACTGTGGAATGAATAAGTAGGTAAAATTCCACTAAGGCTCGAGTTTGCTCGATTATTCTGCTGTGCAAAAATAGAAATAAAAGCTCTCCCCATCCTTTCACTCCTAAGTACCAAAACATTCATACAGGCAGTAAGAAAATAACTGCAGTGGTGCAATGGTCACTGATCCAAGTCCTGCCTTTCCTGAGTCCGCCCTGACGCTATTCATGAATTTGCCTACTCAAGAAATGCAATAAAACAGGGAAAAAAAGACGGCTTCGTTCTGCTCCAGTGATCTGTATCTAAGGAAAGCACATAAATTTTCCAATGAAATCCATAAGTGGAAGTCGAGGCCAAGCCCTACCTATAGATCTTCCAAGGGACAGAGAGGTGGCATGGCGGTGCCCTCGGAGAGCACAGGATCTCCTGGGCACGTGGGGGAGCGGTTTGCTCCACATGGACAGAGGAAAAGCTGATCTGGAGGGCTCAGCCTGCCTCAAAACCTGCTGAGGAGCCACACTGGAGCCATCACGAAGCTCTCTGAGGGTTAACAGGGAGGAAGGGATGAGAACAAGGCGAGTAACAGGAATTTCCCTTCGCTCCACCTCGAAAGAGGAGGGGAGCGAAGGGAAACCCACCCTTGAGCTGTTTTCCCCTCTTTAGGCTATTCCCACCCAAACTGGGAAGATCAAGCGGAATGTGGAGGAAATGCTATGCAAACTTTTATATACGTGTCTCCATACAAAAATTTCCGTAGGTTTTTAATTTGTTCTCTGTTAATGTAACACAGCCCTGCCCGTCTCTAACGCTCCTCGTGCTGTTTCCATCAAAATGTTTCCTCTTACCGGCAGCAACATATCATTTTATCAGGATGCCAGGAGATCATTTCCACACAATGCTAGCAGATGTAATTTTCTTAGATGCACACACAGTTCATCATTTAGATACTAGATGACAAGGTGATCGCAGGGTGACTCTGTAATGCAAGTTTGCTGTTTGGTATTTGGAATTCTCAAATGATAAAAAAAAGACTTATCAAATATAAATATCTTTAAGAAAAAAGTAACAAAAGTGCTACATATGATCAAGGAAAACAATTCCATTAGTTCCTGCTACTTAAGAGTAGGTTTGCTTTACAAATATTACCACATCCATTATCAGTATGGCTTCCAATTATTAATTAAATTGCTCGTAGCAGTATAGCTTTCTCACACCTTAACAAAGACAGAGTAAAGAGAACACAAAACATTCACACCCCATTTCTCAGGTAAGAGATCCTCCTGCCTTCAAACAAACAAAAAAAGTTCGTATTTAGGAGAATATTTATGCTCTGATGGTTACCTAGCAAAGGTCAGATGCTGAATTCTCCAGTAACCTTTCAGGCTAGTCAGGACGTAGGCATTACTTACACAGACGTGTAAAAATCCACTCACCCATTTTAGGACCTTAACAACCTTCCTGGAAAACATTGCTTTCGAAAGTGGCAAAGTGGAGAGGGGAACAGAAAAGGTGAGAGAGGAGGAATTAAGGTGAAATTGTTAATGATGGATGGGTAAGAGTCTAGACCTCTTCTGAGCAGGCACTGCCAGCCACGCCAAGAACGAGCAGTGGTTCTGAGAAGTGGACTGTTGTCCATTTAGACATTCAGCTCATTTTTCATCTGATCCCAGGCTGGGCTTCAACCATGGTCGCAGAGGCAGAAGGCAGCACTTCTCCACTAAGCCAGCAGCTTGTGAGAGTAGAGGATGTCTGTGTTGAATATGTGAGCATCAACTGAAATGTGGGAATGTGTTTCCAATGGACATTCTCGGCACAGCACCCGAAAGTAAACGGAGTCACTGTATGACCAGTGAGGCACGGCTTATTGCAGCTGGAAATCATTTATTCCCATGCTGGAGTGGGGTTTCTAAGTGTTCTTTTTACTCTCTGTTGATACTCCCAGTCTGGTGTCCATCGACCCTGTGCCACTACCTCAGCTTGCATCCTTTCAGTCTCAGGGCAGGGAAAGCGTACGGACTATCGGTTTCAACACCATCTCTAAGGTTATCCAAGATTTTAAGTGTAGCCTAAGACTTGTAATTGAGGGCTGTCTAAAATACCTGGAAGCACTTTGAATGCTAAGACAGAGCAGCAAGATTTTTTTTTCCTTTTTTTTTTTTTTTTTTTTTGATTTTACCTTTCTAGCCACTGGGGGCCGGGAGAGGGAGGTTGGTTGGTTGATTGATTATTTATTGGGAATTAATACTGAGAGAGTATATGCAAAGGCTGAGGGCACCATGCCATCTTCACAGAACAAGACCCTAACAGCTAACTGACGTACAAGAAACTGCAAAGTTATACTGTAAGAACACATATTAAGGACCGAGGAAAGTCTGCTAAGGTGCTACGTCTAAAACTAAGTTACTTCTTGCTTTGACCCTCCCCTCTCTTGGCATCAGTCGTCGTCCAGAGCCTCTGTCTTGATCTCGTTGGCTCCTTGCCGGGCCAGCGCCAGGATGGTGTGGTTGACTGCTGCCATCTCCACGGCTAAGGAAATGGGGTCTTGGTGGTCACTATGGCTAGTGCTGTCATCCTGGCAACCATGTGGGAAGGAGCAGAGAGAAGCAGGGTTATTTTCCACAAGTCCAAAAAACCAGAGCGGAGAAAAGAAAATGCGCCGTGTGATTGTGGGGGGACAGAGCGGGGTCACAACGTGGGTTCAGGACTGGTTTACAACTGGTTTAGGACTGTTTTACAACTGGTTTAGGACTGGCTTCCCTCACTGTGTAGACAAAGGTAAATAAAGCAGGGAGAGGGGGGACCCAGCTCTGGAGGAAAATATTGAATTATAAAGACGCAAGCGATACAAGAGGTTAAGTCAGGAAAGCAAATTAAGACAGGAATCACTGGGCATGGCCCAGGTCCATGGTTATAGCTGCAATATACAGTTCTAGTTGCCCTATTTAGGTCATCCTGGCCATGGAAAGGGGTGGAATGAGATGAACTTTAAGGTCCCTTCCAACCCAAAGCGTTCTGTGGGTTCTCTGATTCTATTTGATGCCACAACAGAAATCAAAAAGGCAGAGAAAAGAAACATCCCAAGGGAAGAGGGATGTTTCCTCATGAGAAGAAGCTAAACAGAGTCAGGTCCTCCAGTTTGGGGGAGAAATGGCTGATGGTTGACATGATAAATGTTTATTACAAATAACTGGAAAATAAGAGGACAATTTTCCATGTTTTTTATGATCCAATAATCAAAGACACTCGCTGGAATGGTAATGGGATCCAAGGCAGCAGTGGGAAGCTCACTTAGCACAGTTCAGTTCAGGATTCACTGATTTTACATCAGACAAAAGTAAAAATGGTTTTAAAAGGTGTATGTTTGACAAATCCAGGGAAAATTAGTCTGCTAGAAATTATGGAAACTCAGAAAGCCTCTTAAAACTACTGACTTCCAGAAGCTGGAAGCTACTAGAATGAAATAATTCTATATACATTAGAGAAGTACTATAGAATTTTTCTTTAACTGCTATTATTGACCAGAACCATGACACAAACTGAGCCTAAGCTTGGTCCAAGTCAGCATCCTGTGAAAACATTGAATTCACACAGATACAGGGGAAAAGATGCTGGAAAACTCTTCCAATGCTAAAAAATCACAGTGGCTGAAGAGAACTGGAACCACCATAAATCAAATAGGGAATTTTAGGAAAAAACATGGTGCTTTCCCCTCTTTAAAACAGGGCACTAATAGTTATCCCCGTGTGATCCTGGATTTTTAAATTATTACAATTTACAGAAAGGAAATTATAAACATTTATCAGTCTCCCAACAGCCTTCAAGTGACGAACTTGTGTGATTTAAAATTTCAAACGTGCACAGAGTATCTTTAAATTAAGATGATGGGTGACAAATGTTGAAGAGAACAACAAAAAAAAAAACGGATTTGGTAAAATCCTGAGGTTATTTAGAAGGATTCATTCACTTATAACAAGGATCTGGTAAATTTTAGGGCCTCTCAGAAATCTTTGTCATGGTACAAATAAAGAGCCCTAAAATCTGGGGTTTAGGCACTTTGTTAGTATTTAGATGAACTTTGTGTTTTAAAGTTTATTAGAGTTTAAGTGTATCTATGGAGAACAGAATTTCTGGGTTTAACAGCTAATGGATGTTAAATGGTCATCAGAAGAACTTGCCATTTAATCTGCATTGCTGCTAATGACCAATTACACCTCGTAGAGGAGCCCAGATTACTGAGAAATGTCATTTCTAAGGCCTCTAAACAAAAATCTTTAAATTTTAATAACCCATTTATTTCTCTTTTCAAAGCATGCTGGTTAATGCACAGCAGAAAAACACAGTTCAGGAGTTCTACATCAGGCTCCACCTCAGTATTCCAGTCCTGTCTGTCTGACAGGGAATTTTCTGGGGCTTGGCAGTGGTTTCTAAACATTTTATGGCAGTCACAGAGCAGCTTCTCATCACTGAGAGCCAGAAAAGTTGGTCCCACCAAATCTGCTGGTGCTGACCTATAAAAAGGGTCTCAATCCCCATCAGGAGCAGCAGCTGGGGATGCCTCTGCCAGGGATCTGCTGCCCTGGGCCAGAGCCAAGTGTGCCAGGGACTCATTCCAGGACACTCAGCTGCTGTTCCACTCCACCAGCAGCTTTTGCAGAGGGAGAACTCCCAGCTTCTCCCAAGAGAGGCAGGGAGAAGTGATCCAGCCCAGCTGTGGGGTAGCACAGAAATATCTCCTCTCAAAAGCAGGAGTGAGCTGGTTGAGTTCAAACCCTGGGGAAATTGGGAAGGGGATGCAAAACCTGTCAGGAAGGTGTGTGAAGGAAGGGTCACCAACTTTAGGGTAGGTGAGGGCTCAGAGTGTGGGAAGGGGTGTTCTTTTGCTAGAGAATTTAAAAAAGAAGTGGCTGTCAAGGGTTAAAAATAACCAAGAAAAAGAGAGAACAGGCAAGAATTAAAATGCAGAAACAAACAAAAAAGACAGATAATATGTAAACAATCCAAATTGTGGCATGCTCTTGCAGAACAATATGGAATAAGCTAATTAAAGGTCAGGGCTTAGTAAATCAAATCCTTTTCCCCCACCCTTCACCCTTTGTCTGTCAGTGTCTGAGGGATGATCCTGAGAAGCTCCTGGAAGGTTCTCCCACAGAAGAGAGGGAGCTCAGGAAGTTCCAGGAGGGTGCCCAGTGCTCAGAATCCTGCTGGGAAAGGCTGGCACAAGGACTTCTGAAGGGTCCTGGGCAGGGCTCCCTCCTGCTCATGTCTGAGGCCAGGTCAGCAGCTCACAGCAGGGGTGGCCCTGGCTAGAACAGGGCTCTTCTTACAGGAACAAATCAGAAGTGCAAGTTTTTTGGGGACAATTGCTGGTGCCTGACACACAGGGCTGTGACAGACCTGTCCATCCCTTCCTGAGGGAGGGAAAATCAGAGTGACAGGGAAGGAGAGCGTGGGTATGGCAGGGCTCTGGCTGAGGTGAGGCTCTCCTGCCACATCTCAGACATTGTGTGTGGTGTGAGGGGTGTAACTTGCTTGTTTGGAGCAGATCCTCCTGTCTTCTTCTACCTTCTCTGCTTCTCTGCCTCCTTCAGAACATCGTCCCTCCTCCTCCCCGTTGCGTACTTGCCAAGTGTCCTGTCGTGAGGCAACAAATCCACGGGGGTGAATACTGGATTTTCACCCTCTCCCCATCACAGTGACACAAAAGTCAAACAAAACAGGATTTTCAAGAGGCAAAAAGGTCCTTTTTAGGTGTTTGGTTGTCCCTGTTTGGGCCACGAGGCTCCAGGGCTCACCTGCTCTGAGTAGTCGTTGCCGTCCACGTCGTCGCTGTTGGAGTGACCTCCAGGACTCTGTACATCTATTCCATGGCTCTCCAGGATTGCTGCTTCTTCGAAAAAAGCAAATGGATCCCTCATTTATCTGATGCATTGGAGAAGTTAAAGTAACTCGGGTTTTTTTCCCCTTTTTTGGGAAGTTAGAATGACTGGAGGAACAGGGTTAGTTCTTAGCACCGTTCTCTTCACTCTCCAACATTTGGGAAGACAGCACAGGTACAAACACTGGTTTGCCTGAAATCCTTCCCTGCCAACTACCAGACTGTCCTGGGAGTAAAAATCCCTGTCTTCCAGCCAATCCTAACAGAAATCAGTGTCATTTCTAACGTATTGAAGTGGCAAAGGCATTCCCTGTAAATCTTCCCCCACAGTTTGGACTGGGCAGGATTCAAGGGGGTGGGGAGTGTCTGAAAATAGATGGGAGAAATTTCTGAAAGCACTTCAGGGATTTGAAAACACAAAAATCCATCTTCCAGTAGGATCCATATATCTAAAGCTCCCCTTGATTCTTTTTATCTCTTTCCAAACCTCCTCTCCAAACACTAAGTTTGCTTTATTCCCCCATCCCTTTGAGAAGCCATTTTTACTTGTAGAAAAATAAATTTAGCTAAACTTTAGTAACACGTTAAATTATGTAATCAGAGCTTTTTTTCTTATTCAGAAATAAGGCAAAATAGTGGAACATTTGAAATAATTAAAAATAATGAAAATAAGCAGATATGGATGTCTGTTCACCCATGTGTTGCAAAAGTAATTCTGCATAATATCTAAGTAAGGGTATCAAACTTTTTATGAATGGCAGAAGTTTGTTGAATCCACAAAATAACAAATCACTGAGGTGATTTATTCTCCTCAGAATATCTTATCCACATCAGAGGGTCTCCTTCCTACAAGTGATTTGATTTCCTTACAATCAGCTAAGAAACCACAGGGTTAACTGTGAAGTGACTTTTGTGTTTTCCTGATCATCCACAAAAAATGTGGCTTTTTTCCAGCCCCTTGTCCCTGGGCAAAACCTTGGAAAGCTGTCAGGGCCAGAGGTATAACCAGGATAAAAACCACACTAAGTCTGTGAACTTGCCAACATCTCTATCTCCTTTATTTACAATTTTGAGGTTTCATTTCAGATTTGAGTTTGGATACTCAAAGGAGGGAAATGCAACTCTCCTTCCACCTATAAAATTCTCACTTTGCTTTTTAAAGCTGATCTTCCAGTAAAACTTTGTAACTTCACCACTTCCCCTGCACTGATGACAGAATTCTACAAACTACACGTATTTCACAAAAAATCTGGAACAGCAAGAGACTCATTTTCATAATTCCTCCACATTTCTCCCGAGGCTGTCAGCACCTCTGGTGTTTTCACTAATTAATTCTTACGTAATTGCCACCTCTGCTGAGCAAACCCCAGGCCTTGCAGGCAGGCTCTGTGATACATTACCGATATTGGCTCTTCTCTTGATCTCCTTCCTCCTGTTGGCAAACCAGTTGTACACTTTGAGGGAGGTGACTCGCTCCAAATCCGACAATTTTTTTCCTAGGAAAGCAACAGTAGGGAAAAATAATAGTTCAGTGGTGTTACTCACTGGGTTCCAGAGAAGCTGTGGCTGCCACATCCCTGGGAAGTGTGCAAGAACAGGTTGGACAAGATTTGGAGCAATTTGGGATAGTGGAGGTGTCCCTGTCCTGGGACTGGAATTTTAGATGAGCTTTGAGGTCCCTGCTCACCCAAACAGATCTGGGATTCTATGGGATAAACCCCTGAAACACAAACAGCACTGGCAAGTTAAAATAACTGAGAAAAAAGCAAACTTTATGTGGATCACGTTCCAGTGTCTAGGTGCTGTGGCACTAAAAGCTAAGTATCTTCTTTTCTTCTGTTTTTTTAAAAAATCTGAATTACAGGAATTTCTTTGCAGCTTCAACCAACTCAACCCAGAGCCATGGGAAAATGAAGGTTTTTTTTTCCACTTTGAGCACAAAACTGAGATTCCAAAAACTGAAATTCCTGCCACAAACCTCATCCCTAGGGCTCCTTCTCTTACTATGTGTCACAAGGGTACAGTTCACTGTTTTATACAGCAGAAAAACGAATGAAGTGGTTTTGTGTCACCCTTTCTCTCAGCACCCATCACACCCTCCCAACAGTGCCAGGACACTCGGGATCTTTTGGGATAACAGGGGTGGATGCTGGAAACTGGATTTTTACACTTAAACCAACAAAAAATTCCCAAAAACCAGAAGGCAGCTATAAAAAACTATGCCTTTATCTGGTCATCGGCATAAATAAGGGAAGACTGGAGGGATTCAGTATTTCAAGGACATCCTGGAAACCTCTTTTTTGCTCCTGACCCTGTATAAAATATTCCCCATATCTCCATCCTCAGACCTCTGCAGGCTATACAGGGTTGAGCCCCCCTTGCTTCTGAGTCTTTCTCAAAGTTTATTTATTCAGCCTACAAAACATCCATGTAATTGCAGCAATCTGCACACTTAAATAAGTTAGGAGAGATGAGACAAGTGAAAGAAAGAAAACTCTGGAAATTGATAGCTTGGCTGCTTCCTAATGCTTTGCATCAGCACCACTGGCAGTATTTTACTGCTCCCTGACATGGCCTTGCAGCACTTTGTTCCAAGTTGCTCCACAGCTAGGAATCAAATCCTCAGCTCTCTGGTCCTCTGATTTTTCAAGGAAAAATTCAGCAGGTATTAGGGAAAATGTATTTTGCCATGAGAATGCTCAACACTGTGGAACAGGGGCCTGGAAATGGGAAAACCTCTGATTTTGGAGAAACTGAAAACTGAACAATCTCATCTAAGCTGGTCCTGTCTCAGCAGATGAACTCCAGGGGTCACTTCCATTCTAAACTGGTCTGAGCTATCCTGTGACAATCCCAGCTCTCCACAACTCCCTGAAAGGATAAAAAGGTGGGGATCCATCTTTTCTCCCAGGGAACAGGGACAGGACAAGAGGAAATGGCCTCCAGCTGCACCAAGGATGCTCAGGTTGGATATTGGGAACAATTCCTGCCTGGAAACTCCTGTCAAGCCCTGGCACAGCTGCCCAGAGCAGGGGTGGAGTCCCCATCCCTGGAGGGATTTAAAATCCCTGTGGATGTGGCACTTGGGGACACAGATCAGTGGTGACCTTGGCAGCGCTGGGGATGGTTGGATTCCATGATCCCAGAGGCTTTTCCAACCTAAATAATTTTGTGATTCCATGTGCATGACTCACACTTTAGTTGCCTTCTCATTAATTTTTATTCTGGTTGTAAGAAATCTAAATATATCCAAAACACAAGTTCTGAGATCTATGTAAATGTTTGGTTAGCAAAACTAAGCAAAGGCAGGTGCATCCACTAATACTACACTGAATATTCATGCTCCTCTCCTAAGTATAACTTCTCCAGAAAGAGGGAAAATGCAACTTGTTGACCTAAAGATAAGGTTCTCCATTAACACCCAGGTTCTCATCTGAGATCCCTGTCTGAAAGCTGTAAAATATTGAAAAACAGGAGAGCTGAGCTCCTTCCTCCTCCAAAAACCTGATTTATCAGTCAAGCTTGATGACTTTGGAAGTCTTTTCCAACCCAAATGATTTTGTGATTCTGCAAACATCAGTCTCAGAACTCAAGATGCTGAAACCTCTTTGTTTTTGGGAAGGACCCCCCAGCAGCTCCTCACCTGGTTTTTGTATAACTGCATTACAGGCGTTGGCAATTTCTTCTCTCTTTGCCTCGTCGGGATATTGATTCTCATTGAAGTAACTACAAAAGGGGGGAAAAAAAAAAAAGGCTTTTTCTTAAGAAATCAGAGCATGAAGGTTCCAAAGCAGCTCCACTAAAAGGTGTCAGCTGCTGATTTATGCATCACTTCTCCAAAGGTACCACAGTGAATTTTATGGTAAAGTAACACCAGCCTGCGTTTATGTCCACGTGGAATAAAGGAAACTTCCCAAATCCCTCAGAAAAAATGAGTATTATCTCAGCATTTGGAATATTGTACTAGGACACCCAAAAATGTAGGAATTCCATGGGTATCAGAGTTAAGATTGTCAAGTGAAGCATCATCTCCAAGACAGGCCTTTGACTTTACTATAATTTATTTTTTATCCCCTCACACACCCCCAGCTTAGGTAGAAGGAGCTGTTTAACATTTTTTCTGATTCCTGTTCATATATATTTTTTAATATATACACATCCATCCATACTTTTAATATCTGTATTATGCAAAACCCCACAAATACTGCAGAGACAGACATGGTGTGGAGATGCTATGAAATTACACAGGATGATTTCTACAGTCAGATTGTTTTTTTAAAACCACAACTCAAAATTTTTCAATCTTCCTCTGAACGACACATTGAGTACAGCATGTCTCTAACACTATTTTTTCTGGAATAATTGTGATTTTATTGTACTTTATATGCAGTAAACACCCTAAAAAAGTTAAAACTGTTTCCTCTTTTACCTCACTGAACCATTCTGCAAATTTTAATGAACTGATTTACATTCCACAGAGCTTATCAGATCTGCATTAAAACCAACAAAACGTCCTGTTTTCTTCAATGGACTCTGCTAACCATACCACAAGCAGAGACTACCACTGTTTTTTCTGTAGATTATCCATAATATATAATCCTAGGATTTCTTTTATCAACTTTGATCAGCAGCAGGCCCGGCTGTTGGACAGCTGCTCTGCATTTGAAAATAAGATATTTATTTCCTTAACTGTAGATCATTTGGTAATAGGAGATTCCAGCATATTGAGGCAATTATTATTTTCCATTATTCACCCAGTGGATTGGCCCCAGATACTTTCTATGGAAATCCAGATTCTGTTCCATACAGGAACTGTTTCTGTCCAAACTTTGAACACTCAGGTTGAATTTTAGGTGCCACTACTTCATCCCCCTGTTCACAGAGTCATTCACAGTCACATCTATGCCCAAAATGGAGTTCTATTTCAAAGTTGCTGCTCAGTGAGTAAGAGAAATCACACATGAGCTCGGAGAGCTGCACCATTCATGGACTTCCAGGTGATCTGCTGGGAGAGAGCAAATGGAACCACAGGGATGGCTCAATCTTCTCCAAATGAAGGGCAGCTCTGCCCTAAACTTCAGTTCAAGGGTTGGAAAATTTGGGAGTTTGTCAGCCAACACTTCCACTATTAGAGTGAACTCATTGCTGGAATTAAGGTGACTGAGGAGTCAAAGGAGGAGTTCCCTGACACAGGACTGGTGTCTTTGCTCAGCTTCATGAGAATTTAGAATGAACATCACACCCTCTGGAAATGGTAATTTTTAAAGTGTATTCTCCCCTCTTCCATGTCTATCCCCTGTGTGATTCCAGCCTTTGAAGTGGTGTGTGTCCATCTCAACCTGCAAATTTCTGTTCAAAGGGGTTGCAGGGTTCTTACAAAGGTGCATTTTTGGGGAATGGAGAACTTAAAAAAGAGAGCAGAAAATGCTTTTTCCAGTAGTTAGTGATGGAAGGAGAAGATCAGGATCCCAGCTCCACAGCCCCATGACAATATTTCAGCTCTCCCACCTACAGAGCACTGCCCTCTGCCCAGAGCCAAGAATCATTTCCTCTTTTAAGCACCCTGAGATAAAGGAACATCAAGAGATCACAGCTGAAAACTGCTGCTCTGTTATTTACAGGAACATATTGTCTGCCCCGGAGTCCTAAACAGCACCACATGTACAAAAAACAACATTTATGGAAGAAATTACAAAATACATAAAATTATCAATCAGGGTGACCTTGAACTGCCCATTCTTGTTAATTCAAGAAAGTGAGACACTAATTAAAGCAGCAAAGACAACACCAGAGCCACCAGTGACCCTTTTCTTGACACCTAACTCAACACTGTCCCTTCCCCAAGCCACAGCCAGGCTTTTGCTGCTTCCAACAAATAACAAAAATATTTTCTACCAACAACAAAACTTCAGCCCATGCTTACACTTCTCTGGGATAACAGGAAATCTCCCTGTGATGGAGCAAACTTCCAGAACTGGACAAGGAATGAGACACCTCTTCTGGCAAATGAGGGAATTTTGTGTATTCCAATCATTTTTGTGATTCAGAAACTGCTGAAGCAGTAATTCTTATCTCTCAACATTTTACAACTAAGTTATAAACAATTAATTTGCCTGACATTTCTCATCAAATTTCTGATCTTTTAATGTAAAATGTCTAAACATTTCTACAAGAAATGTTTACAAGAAATTCTCACTAAAAACCGTGAAATTCTTCTGACCCTAAATTTCAATTTATGAAAAAGCATTAAAAATCTCAGTGAGTTGTCACAGAGCTGTCCTGGTTCTTTTTGTGGGGATCCCAAAGCCAAGTGGGTACCAGCTGGAAGGGGAACTAGTGGAGCAATTAAAACTCTGTTTCTGCAGCTGACAGTAATTTTAGAACCTGCCTCTCCTTCCCCTGCTGGACTATTCCTTATCCTCATCAATGATGGGACACCTCCTTCCCCCACACATTTCTAAACTTGGCCAGCCCTCAACTTGTGCTCCCCAAAACTGAATCTTCTCCTCAGAACTCAATCCCAGGATGGTGTGGGGTCGAAGGGACCTTGAAGATAATTCAGTTCCAACATCCTGCCATGGCAGGGACACCTGCCACTACCTCAGGCTGATCCAACCCAATCCTGGACACGTCCAACTGTCCTGGTTCTTTTTGTGGGGATCCCAAAGCCAAGTGGGTACCAGCTGGAAGGGGAACTAGTGGAGCAATTAAAACTCTGTTTCTGCAGCTGACAGTAATTTTAGAACCTGCCTCTCCTTCCCCTGCTGGACTATTCCTTATCCTCATCAATGATGGGACACCTCCTTCCCCCACACATTTCTAAACTTGGCCAGCCCTCAACTTGTGCTCCCCAAAACTGAATCTTCTCCTCAGAACTCAATCCCAGGAAGGGACCTTGAAGATAATTCAGTTCCAACATCCTGCCATGGCAGGGACACCTGCCACTACCTCAGGCTGATCCAACCCAATCCTGGACACATCCAAGGATCATGGGGCAGCCACAGCTTTTCTGTGTAACCTGTGCCAGGGTCTCACCACCCTCACAGAGAAGAATTTCTCCCCAAAATCCAACATACATCTACTCCCCTTCAGCTTAAGGCCATTCTTGAGGCCATGCTGTTCCTCTCCATATTGTGCTTTTAGTGTTTGAAGGAGTGCAAGCTGCTTTATCAGAGCTCATAACCTGAAAGGAAAAAGTCTCACAGCTCCAGGCAACCCTAAATATCCAACCCTAATTGCTGATTTTCCTCCTCAGCCTCCAAATCCCTGTGCACAAACTCTACCAACACATCACATCTCATCCCCATCCCACCAAGGTCTTGTGGCTGACATGCCACAACACAAAGCACAACATTTAAAACCTCCCACCACGTGGCCCTTGAGGACCTGGCTTAGTGGTGAACTGGTGATGCTGGTTGATGGTTGGACTTGATCACCTTAAAGGTCTTTTTCATCCCTAATGACTCTATGGTTACATGATTCTATGATTCCTGAGAAGTAGATGAGAATAATTAAGTGTTCAAGACAGGGAAGCCATGGAAAATAACTCAAGACTTCATCACTGACTATTTTGTTTGCTCATGTAGAAGTTGTGAAAACACTGTGATTTTTTTGGACTACAATTCTTCTTGCAGTAAATTAATTATTCTGCCTCTAGTTCTGTTTCTTATCAGCCAGGTACACAGGGAAAGAATGCAGGATGTCTGAAATTCCCTTCACAGCCACAAACCTGTTCACAGTCTGAAAAGTTTCTGAAAGCTACAGATGAAAAATATGAAGCCACATGAACTTAAAAGGAAGGAAAAAAAAAGAAAAGGAGCAGGCACAAGTAACTCCTGCAAAGGCACACTGCTTTCTAGACAAAGGGCAGCTGTCAGCTGAATACCTTCCATGAAGAAACCAAATGATCTCTTTTGTAGAAAATGACAGTGGAGGATTAAAATGAAAAGTGGCCAAATAATTTACATGAGATGAGAATCCATATGATGGTAAAGAATGTAGATATCCTTGAAGCCGTTTCATTTCAATAACACTGAAGCCTAGAAAAATTGCAGATTCAGAGAAACCCTCTTTCTTTCAGGGATAATGTGCTTAGGACAATGATGGAGAGGGAATCCATCTCAGCCCAGGGCTCTGTAATGGAAGGAGAAGTCTCCCCCCGACTCTCTACCAAGGTGCCCCTCTCTGAATTCCTGCAATAGCTGCCAATCTTTTTTTTTTTCCCCTTCTGTTCTCGAGGCTGAGATATCAGATGCATTAAGCAATGCCTCAGTAGTGCTCCTGATAATCCACAGTGGAAGTTTTGTTGCTCCCTATCAGCTTTGCAGCTGCCAGGGAAGTGTCTGAAACCACAACCACTGAGCAGCAGAAGGATGGGTGGGGCCGGTGCTTTTCCAGATAAGGAAAGAGATAAAGCCCCCCAAAACTGATCAAAAGACCCCAAGCTGAGGAAATGCATGGTTTACAGCAGGACCCAGTGGTTAAAACTTCCAAGCGTGGCAGGGGTTCAGAGTGGAGAGGCTCAAATGTGTTGCAGGGTAGAAATTCACGGTGCTGCTGCAGCTGAGTCACCCTCAGGTGAGGTCACTCAGGTATGAGGACACAGATCAGCCTCACTGGGGAAAGGTAACTCACCTTGCAGTTAATGGGAGGCAAGAATACACAGATGGACATTTACTGAAGACCAGCAGACACGCTGCAAGCTCACTCCCCCACTTTGTGTTTGC